CTCACTGCACTGGTTACTAGTTATATAATAGGATTCACGCTCCCCATTACCAAAGTGCCCAACGGTTCCAGCTCTTTGCATTTGCATCACCTGTTGGTACTGTACTCATCTGGTTGGGCCCTGTGAGCAGCAATCCTGACATCTCCAAGCCACCAAGAACTGGGAGAACCTTCTCACCAGCCCAAGCCCTGGAGACTACCAAAGCAGAGGAGCACAGCTGGCTAAGACGAATCAGGTAAGGTCAGGGTTATGCTCTCTCACCTCCTGTGATTCCCTGACTGACTGTGGCCTTGCACTGAGGTCAGCAAAATATGTGCTTCTCTCCCAGTCCCTGCCAAGCTTTTGTAAAATGTCCAATTCCTCTGCAGAGGAGAGTGTTGGAAGAGCCTGTCCATGTATCTCTTTCCTTCTCAGGTGGGTTGAACTTGCTTGGTTATAGAGTCAAAACCATATTCAGAGTAAGGGCACAACTTAAAGCCTAGTAAACAGTCACCAGATGGCCGCCAGCCTGTTTCCACAGTGCCCTCTTGTGGACTGGAGGGGAGCTGCCTTCACCTCCATTTAAAAAAACTTTAAAGCAATCATCCAAAAACCTACAATACTTGTATGAAACAAAAAATTCTGAAATGATGTTTGTATGGGAATAATGTTTGTTTTTGTGTATTATGTTTTTGTATAATGTGACATACTGTGTACAATGTTAGTGGAGGAGCAGGGTGCCTTTAAGAGAATTGTGGAAGGTTAAAGGGGAGGGAGGGGAGGGAGAGATCTTCATCAATAAAAGGCAGAGGCTTTTCGGTGCGCTGGCTCCATTGTTGTTTGGAAAAGATTTTGTTTGTTTGCTCCTACTACTCCCTTTCTTGCTGCCTTTTAAATAAAGAAGGGCGGTTTTTAAAGTATCATTTCTGGTTGTGGTCTGGTTAAATTTGACTGCTATGAACTGAACCCAGGTGACCATGTGGAAAAGAGGGTGCCCTGTGACATCTCTGGAGGAGAAGCAAGCAATGGTTGTCTTTTTCTAGGAACTATTTATCCATTATTGAAATGCCGTAATGGAACTATATTAGGATGTGTGGTGCAAAAGAATTTTATAAACCAATTCTTAAAACGTATTTATTTTGCTTTGGATTATGCAATCAGCAAATGGCTTCTGTAATTGGTGTTATTGTGCATGCTAGGATCAGGAGCACTGTGAAGGTTGTAGTTCCTATAACATTGTTTCCTCATCATTGTTAAGGATATAAAACAGGAGACATTGAGAAGAAATGTTTACAAGGATACTTAAACAGTCACATTAAATCCCTAGTCCAATCTTCCTCCTCAAACGACTTATTTTTCTCATCGGGGGAAGCCGGGGGGAGTGGATTTGAAAAGCAGAAAGACTGTTTCAACAAGGAGCATAGCAGCTATTCTTGCTAAGGCCCTGGCTTGCTGTATATTAATTTCATTGAGATGTATGAGAAGCCATATACATTCTGGCATCTGAGGTTGCGAGAGCACTAAAAGTGATCCTCAGAGGCAGGGGAAATGATGTCCAGATACAACAGACAACAGTGGGAACATTGCTGCAGGAATAAATAACTCAGCCAGAGCATTTATACTTGACAGCAATAACACAAGACATTTGTTAGAATCCAACTGAGGGTGCTTACCATTTATATTCAAAGACTTCACATGAAAGGCCAGTGTAAATACACCAATTGAATCCACATGGCTGCAGCAAAATAGCTTCACTGTAACTGTGCTGGGGGGGTTGCCCCACTTCGACTGAAGACACAGGTCAGTGGAGGAATCTAAGCTTTCATCCACAGATTCACAAATACAATGGAAAGAGGGTTAAAGGAAACGTAGTTCATCCAAGAACAGCTCTCACTCTGCGTTCCCCGGAAACAGGGCATGCAAATTACAGCGAGGAATGGTTTTGGTGGAGGCCACCGGCAACAGAGCCACAGGGATCATTAATTCACGTTGTCCTTTCTGATGAAGAGTTCAGAATGACACTGACAGAGCAGATTGATAATAAAATCCTAAAGAACAGCTGCAATACTCTGAAGTGAGAAAACTGCACTCTGTTGGATAGAAATCGCCCTAATCAAACTACATGTAATGTGAATGCAGCAGACATCAACAAAATAATTTCATTACAATATGCATGATCTCTCCATGATCAGAAAAAGAGAGAGAGATTTCCCAGGCACAGAAACTTTTAAATATTTAAAACTGACTTCACAAAGTCCTCTGCCACCTCTATGAATCTTTTTTTTTCTTTACAAATCCTTGTGATCTCCCATAAGACACATTTTGGCATGACCCCCCCCAGGAGTGACCTCCATTCCTTTGCTTCTGAGTTCTTGTGACTGTGGGCACTATGATGTCAATATTTCTCCAGAGAGAACGATCACGATTTTTTTCTGACATCCAACTGCTATAATGACTTGGATGCTGGCTGTCAGAGGAGGGCCCGGTTTCAATTCTCAATCGCTTATTCTCCTGTAGTGCAGTTCTACGGACTCATTCATTTCTAACCGCGGGAGCCTTATTTTCAACTCAGATCCCCATCTGAGCTGTGCTGGTATTCATCTCTGTCACACCTAAATCCGCAAACCAACAGTCGTGCTGCAGCGAGAACAGGGCACAATATACCAAATGATACATGACTGCCGGAAAGTGATTTTATAACGGATATCAAAATACTGGTAGGTCCGGAATAAATTCTAAAAGAATAGCAACAGGAAACAAAGCCTGTAAAGTACTGTAGCGGAATAAGGGTTTCGCATCAAAGGATGAAAAATCTGTTTGATGTATAGCTGGGTGAGATCTTTGGGCTGGTTTTCTACTGAATAACCATATGGCCCCATCTCGTTTGCAACCATTCTAATGGTTTCTGTTACTACTATAGATGATAATAGCAATATTGCAAAGGGGCTAATTACGAGAAATTGTTGATGCCAGAGCTATCGATTTTGACTCCATAACTAGAACACTTTGCATTTGCTCTGGCTGTGCTTCACAAAACAATTACATAGAAGCAGCTAATGTACAGACTATGGTTTAATTCAGTTCATTAGCCAGATGGAGAGCTGGATTTATTTATTTTTTGTGTAGGCTTGGCAGCCCTTGTTCTTGTGAAAACAGTTTTTGTCTTTTGCTTATTGGTTGGCAAGGCTGTATCAGTGTTTGTGTCCTACATCTACTATATCTGTCACAGTAAGTCAACAGGACTCTCTCGCTAACGCAAGCGGAGACTCCCTGTCTCTCGGGAACCAATGAAAGCTGCTTGCTTTATAATGAGGAATTCTGTCGGATAATGGAGGGAATGATTACTCCGGCACGGAGCCGCAGGCTTTTAAGATTTACATTATTGATTGTTCAGTTTGTGCAGGGGTGAAAAGCGCTGCAAAGGCAGACTATAAACTCCTACCGCGAACGCGCTGCCCAGCCCCCTCCTGATCTCCTCCTCTCACAAACCCCACACTCCGGGGCGGGAGGGGGACCAGAACTCTCACGCGTTCTCCAGGTGAGTAACTCTGGAAAGCGCTGCCACGCCGCCATCGTGCAGAGCAACCGCCTCCACTCAGACCCAGTGGGGGGCACCCTGGGGTGGGGGCACGTTTAAAGCAATCCAATCTCTGACGGGCTAGAACAGATGATGACGTACAATTACGTTTAAAACACCTTCCTGCCGTGAAACGAGGTTAAATAGCAGCATGTTCACTTATATGCAATGACAAAAGCCATCCGAATACTGTTAGAAAGTACAAAGCGCTCTTTTCTGCAAATAAAAATATCCAGTGTTTTAGACATGAAGGTTCTACTTCATCTCGGTGACATCTTACTGTCCCAAAGACATGATAGTGGAAAGAACAGTCCATTTGAGAGTTTTTTTTTTACCCTGAAATCCAATTGCTTACAAAGTTAATCTGCCATAAACTTCACACTTCTAACTGATGTTCCACTTTTCAACTGAATCCACACTCAGCTGCAGCTGAGCATGAGATGACAGGCATCCATGAGAGTCATTGAGCAACTGAAGCCAGTTCATTCAGAATCAATTTGGAGCACAGATCTGCACGGACATGACTGCAAAGGTTTTGCTTGAATTACACTTTAATTCAAGCAAAACCTTTAAATCTAACCTTTGTTTTAGATGTGCTTGGAGTTTTTTCCAATAATATTCATGCCCATTGAGTTTCAGAGGCACCCCCGCCCATCACATTAAGGCTGGCACAGAATGCAACGTTAACAATCTACCAGCCTTGTATGGTAATAGATTCACAGTGGGAGGTACAGTATAGCTCTAAAACCAGCAGAGGTGAATCTGTGCAGCAAGTCTATCACTGTTCTCCTTCCAATGTCACACAGGCTGTGCATAATGAGATTCGCATTTGTAAAGTAAAACCTGAACAGCCACCCTGGAGAGTCCATAGCAATCCAGAAAATGAGTGCATGCAAGGAAAAAAAATTATCTGTCGGAGAAGAATTGTATGTAACCCTTCTTTTGATTAGACGGCCTCCTAAGGAAGATTTTGCTCAATGTTTTCATCTCAAGCACAAAATTGTAACATTGCATAGCTTGTCTGGTGGCTCCTTTAAAATACAGAGCAGCCCTAATGCTGAGGTCTCAGTGAAGTTGTTTGGCTAGTTACTGTTCCACAGAGTTCCCACAATCTACATAAAGTCATCAAAATGTGTACAGGGCGGAGCGGTGGCACCGTTGTTCAGGATCTGCGCCTGTGGCTGGAAGGTTCAAATCACGAGGCTGGCAGAGGAATCCTACTCTGTTGGGCCCCTGAGCAAGGACGTTAACTCCAGCTGCTCCAGGGGCACCTTATAAATGGCGGACCATGCACTCTGACCCTAAGCTTCTCTCTCCCCGTCTGTATACCTTGTGTGTCTCATGGAGAGCAAGCTGGGGTATGTGAAAAGACAAATTCCTAATGCACGAAATTGTATAGGGCTAATAAAGTTATCTTATCTTATGTACAACATGCTCCTGGGGAAAGAAAAAAAAACTTTAATGGACAAGAAGTGCATTACTTTGTTACTAAATAGGTTCCAAGTTTCAGGCAGCTGATCCAATGCCTCTCTGATTCATAGTATAGAAGCTCTTTTCACCAGGTTCAGGTTCTGGGAGGTAAATAGGTAGAACAGGAAGGATAAGACCAGAGATACTCATGTACTGTGTTGCAAACTTCTCATTTAGCTCTGTGTTACCAAGGCAACGCCTTCCTTCTGAACAGTATTGTGGAAGCACTGATCCATCTCCCCTCACCATTACCTTTACATGGGGGGGGGGGGGGTTGGGGGTCCTTTGTAAAGATTTCAACTTCTTGGAGAATGTTCTCCTTTTAAGATAACCTGCTCAGAAAAGCAGAACAAAGCCCTCATGAAAAAATAATCAAATCAGCACCACAGTAAAGCATTAGTAACAGAACACCCATCATCTTCAAGTTGATCTGAGTTGTCCAATCACGGCCTTCGTCTGCAGCCCAGCCTGCATCAAAACAAAGCAAGAGGGAATTGTTTTATGGGAAGCTAGTAAACACAGTGTCTGAAAAATTAGAAATTGGTTTTGCAGGAAGCCATTAATTTCTCAACACAATGTGAAGCCCTTCCTCAGGCAGTTAAAAAGGCTAATGGCAAAGAGCTTGCAGCTTTCCTAGGAGAAGCAATAACAGTTATTGTGAAGAGTGAAATGAGCTTGGCTGTGCTTTAAAAAGACAGGTTCTGCTGTATTTGCCACTCTCTTGTCAGATAACACATTCCTGGTCATTCTTTGAAGGGATTAACAGAAGACAAAGTCATTACTGGTAAGTAATAAAGCTTTTGAACACCTGAAAATTTTGACAAGGACATCAAAGGAAGATAACACTTTTGTAAAGCTTTCACTTAATCACTGCCAAGAAAGTGTTGTTTTTAAATGGTTTTATTTTAAAAAACATCTTGTATGGTTGACTCCAGTTCAGTGTTCCAGAGCGTCTTTAATCTTCAGGATAATTTATACTTACTGGGTAAAATCCAAGTAAAACAGTCAAGGCTTGAGTATCCAGATGATGCATGTTGAGGGCTGTGATACAAGGACACTCAGAGAGAAACAGTCCTTATACGAGCTGTGACTAGTTTCTTCTGGCTGTGGTAGAGGTTACTGTTTTACAGACATGTCGCAAACAGGAAATGCAAGCTTATTGTGTACAGTAGCTCGGTGTTAATGTCAACTGCAACTTTCAGTACAAGACATTTCTTTAGAAAAGTGAGGGTGAGAACAACAGTCTTCTGAAAACAAATTAATTGTGGTAAAAATGTGGTTTTATGTTGTAAATTCAAATTTGTTATTATTTAAAAAACCTTTCTTTGGTAATAATGGAAAACTTTCAGGATTTGTGCCTCTTCTGCCAAATGACATGTTTCACTCTGCTTAATCTTGTAAAATTTTGTTATATATTACCGAATTACAAGAATGATTTAACTTTTAAACAATAACAACAGTTCACTTAAAACTTCAATCATGACATTCCACAAATATTTCAACATGTCTAGTCACAGTTTCAGCTAAATAAAATAAATGGTTCGGGAATATACTTGGTGCTTATGAATCTGAATATCACTCTCAATTTAAGCTTCTTCAATCATTCTTAATATACTATAATCATTTAAAGAAAGCACACACTGACTATATCTCCTTGCACATGAGGAAAGAGAAGAGGTACACTGGCATATTATAAAGCCTGAAACACCTAGGTGAGTTGAGGTTTAGAGACCGTGGACTGTCATACCCTTAAACAAGGCACACCACTCCAAAGACTCCAGCCAAATGCCCTGCTGTGCAAATGGATTTTCAAGTGGATCTTGTTCTTCGAGACAAAGAAATCCAGCATGTGCAGGTCACTAAATTAGAAGCCGTGCAGAGGAATATAACTGGAAATCACCCACTCCGTTACCACCCAAACACAATAACCACTTGATTGATCCAATTAACATCGGAATGCTGACGTTTCAGCAAAGGAGGGCATTCATTTCCTCAAAAAAGTAACACTAAATGGGTAAGCCATCTTTTTTGTGTTTAGAATACAGTACACAGTATTCTGATATCTCATATCATAATATAAGAGGACACTTCTCTCATCCTTCCTCTGTGATCAGTTGTACATTTTCACTTAACAGCACATGCTACCGATACTTTTTTCACAGCACACTTTATTACTCAACTCTATATACTTTTAAATTGTACATATTTCTTTTTTTTCTTACTTTCATTTTATATGTCGACACCTCAACCAAGAGAAATTCCTTGTTCTTGGTGAATAAGTTTCCGATTCCAAATTTAAAACCTAGGTGGCATTTTTATACCCACCAAGAGAAAACAAACTTGTGAACAGTGAACTATATGGAATTCAAGTTTCTTTTAAAATTAGGGCAAATTTTGAATCACTGTTCAAGTGGGAGCCCATGGCTAAATACATTTAATCATATTCTGAGATGTTGAAAAAAAGTCAACATCAAAAGACAACAGAATCCAGTAAAATGGGAAATCCTCTTCAAGCAAACAGTTAAATAGACCTGGAAAACAGACTGTGAACACAAACAATATTTACAGTCCTGTGCTGTGCCTAGCCACACATATCTGTTTATTTTGTTTACCATTTAATGTTCTTAATTTTTTCCATAGCTTGAGGGGAACAGGAAGAACTGTGCAGTAGCTGATGAAAACAGAGGGGATGTGCCTCATGCTGCTTCATTCTCTCCTGACAGGTGAAGAGATACTAAATACGAAGATTACATGCAGCAGAAGAGCTGACAGAAACCAACAAACCTTACAAAATAAATTTACCTCTTAAAGCTGTTTATTAGTTTGTCACTTGTTCTGCAGAGCATCGACGCCAATCTACTCGAAAAAAGTAAGTTTACTCCCCGACAAAGAAGATGTATTTTTGACAAATGATTTAAGGAGCAGAACACAGCTGACCATTATTACACCCAGCTAGTGATAGCCTTAATGTTTCTTAGTAGTATAAAAAAATGAAAGGGAAATATTTTTTACCTTAAATGTTTACTAATGTCTTCTGGCACTATTTTACGTTCAAAGAGCAGGCTGCCAAAAAACTTGGCTTGTTTCCTGGAAGGTCTGGAGTCTCTGTTTTAACTTTATCTTTACAACTTTATCTGTTGTTTTAATTATCACCAGAAGCAGAGTATCACAAGAAAGTGGCTAGAAAAAGTTCGGGAGAACAAACTCGGAACAAAAAGTCCCCCACCCCACCCCCTCTTTTCTCCAGAATCAACCAAAAAACAGAGAAAACCAGAAAACCGGAGACACAGCTTGCACATTGTTTCTCCCAGAACAGCATTCAGCCTGAGCCTCTAGTGCTGAAAACAAGGCAGGCCTGAGCCGGGGTGCAGAACGCTACCCAGATTTCAAAGTTAGATTTGTTAGAAAGCTGTGATTAGGTCCTGAGCTGGAATTTGCTCACTTGACTTTTTTCTTTAATGTATACGGAGGGGGTTTAAGTGTGCAAGTGTGTACAATCCCCTACCTCAGCCCGATCCCAAGTACTTCTGGACCTCCACAATTTATCTACAAACAGCCACACCTCATAACAATATGCATCTCATAATATGACTATTCATTAAGACTGCTGGTAGAGTATGAAAATCTATAAAGGTCTGAGATGTTCAAGAGTTAGAAACTACATAACACTCCCTAGTGGATAGCAGTCTAGGGCTTTGTACTTTCCTTGTTTCCCATCTAATACCAGTCTTTCCATTTTAATAATATGTAATAATAAACCTTTAAATAATTACTTAGAAATATTTTCAAAAGACCTGGTTGACATGCTGTGTCCTATGGTTACTCTCAATATACAGGTTTTAAAACTGCTTGCACAATTGAAATAAAACTATTATCAAAATATATAATCCAAGACAGAAGATAGACAACAGATTGCATACAAGATCTGGTATTCTGACAAATAATTGTTGTCACGGGTCTTCAAACAGACGACCATACTCTGAATCACCAGCTTCAGTCAAACCAAAACCCTTCCCAATGGGATCGGAATGCTTTAACTGAGCCCCTTACTGTAGTGTTCTGAAAGACAAATTCGTAAAAACAATTATTTCAAGGAACAGTTAATTAATTTTAATTTAAAAAATATATATTTTTTCCCAGAGGAGGGAAACTTGTCATTTAAACTCCAAAACTCCAAAAGGCAAATCACAAACGGATAACAAGCATAAAATCACAGCTGTTGACTTACACATACAGACTGCACAATCTGAAATTGCTCCAAACCGCTCTGCAGCTGGAACTTTATTTTTCAAGGGTAGAGAGAACACCATCTTGAGGGTGACAGGATAGAACATAGACACTTATTGACTGTAGGTCTTATTTGAAATGCATTCACATGACTCACTATGACTGGAAAACAAACTAAATGTTGAAAATACAGGCCGGGCTTCACTGAACAGAACCTCAACGACTTCTTGCAAAGAGTAAAAATCATCATTCACCTCATCTTGGGTATTTCTGAGGAATGGCATTCCCTACTCTGTGTGGTACTGTATGTGAGCAGGAGCGCAAATATACTGCCACCCACCCTGTCACATTACACTGTGCTCTCTTAATCCAATTCAGTCGGCCACTTACTTCCAAATAGAATTATTCCCCAGGAATTTAGGCAGAGTAAAGGCAAAGGAAAATGCATCTCCATCTCAAAATTAATAGCGACTTCTAAGGATCAGTTTATTGCCAGCAGTGAATCAAACCTGTTTGCTTTCTACATTAGGTCAATAAAGAGGAAATGCGTCCCCACAGGCAGGAAATTACAAGCTATCGATACATGAATCAGGTTTTCCTCTTGTCTGCAGAAAGCTTCTCATCAGTGCTGTGTCAGATTTCAGCTTTAGATTTAGGGGCTCTTTGCAAAAACAGATCTGATTAGTAGCAACGGATTGAGAAAAGAGTCCTGCAATCGTACAAGAGAAGTGCTGCTGAATTCTTCATCTCCTTTTGTGTGTGAAATTCACCTCACCCAATCACTAAGGAGAGAATTACTTCCCATTGAGATGCCAAAGTGTGAAAAATATCCAAGTTGCATTTTCTTATTACCTATAAGGAACTAATCAATAATGCTTTTGGATTTTTCTTCATTGCAGGAAGTTAATTAAAAAAGAGGATTCTCATTTACAAAAGCATAATCATTTTAGAATGTCAATGAACCAGACACTTCTTCATTATTACACTCTATATAAAAGGCCGTTATCATGTAAAGGCTTAATGGACGAGGCCATTAATTTTGAAGGGTAAATGCTTTTATTACAGCTGTTGAGCAGGCTAATGTTTTATAACATATAATGTTTTATCCCACATTAATCAGAGGACAAAGTCACGTTCATTCCTTTACAGAAGAAAAGAGTTTTAAGTGTTAGTATAATAAATGTAGCTTGTTCTCTTTGCTTGTAATTACTGTGGATGGCCAATGACCTTCTTGGAAACTAACCTAGAACAGTGAGACTTATAACGTGCAACAGACAGCCACTAGTCTTTAGTGATCGGTCTGTACAATTCTGTTAGCAGCATTTTTGTTTAAAACTAGAAATAATTGAAAAGACTCATAAAACTTTAGTTTCTTTACAAAATAAATCTACAAACACTGCAAACTGCTTGTCTATTAGTAAACTATGCTTTTTTTGCTTTATATCAGAAAAGCTATAACTCAAACACTTTCATCTGCAAATGAAAATGTCCGTATACAACCTCATAAATTATACAGACATTCGGTTACCTCCTCTGATTTTTAAAATAAAAATTTGTGAATAGCACATCTTTACAAGCACCAGCTTGGTAGCGAGCACTGCTGTCTCACAGCTCCTGGGAGCCCTGGTTCAAGTCTAGACTGAGGCATCTTTTGTTTGGAGATTGCATATCCCTCCCATGTCCCGGTGGGTTTGGGTGCTCTGATGTCCTCCTGCTATCCAAACATTCCAGCTATGTTAACTGATGTTTCTAAATTGTCCCAATGCATGTACTGTAGGTGAACCCAATACATTTCGAGATTAAAGACTATTCTACATTGACAGGCTAAAGGAACAAAACAGCCTCTCAGTTGTTAAATCATGAATTGCTCAGTAAGATCTAAAAAAGCAGACTATCTGATTGGAACTGAACCTTGAAAGGTCTTGAACTGAGAACATTATGAGTGGAAATGCAATTGAAATCCTTAAAAGCATCAACAAAGTCAACCCAGTGGATTTCTTCAGAATGAAGGACACAAGTGGAAATTGTGTGGAGAGTCATTGATAAAAGAAACAGAAACTTTAGACATCTAGATTAAAACGGCAGCAATGAATCTGGTGAGAATTAATGTGGTTGTAGCCCAAAAACTAAGATGGCATTACGCTTGAATGATTTCATGGAATTTGGTCTCTGTAAATCATTTTTTCTTTAATGCAAGGCCCACAGCAATTTCAACGGTGTGGGGATAGGTTGAAATATCTCACAGTCAACAAGCTAAGACTGATGAATCAGGCACTGTTGCTATAGCAGCAAACAGGACTTCAACAGCTCGAGGCGAGCGTTTCCATCCTTATCGCAGCCTTACCGAATACTCCGTGGAGGGGCTCCGCTAACCTCAGGCTGTTAGTACTTTATGAAGATGCCTGCTGAGGATTTTGACCGAGAATAACTGCAGCCCCAGCCATTAAAAGGTGAAAACATTTAATCCTCTCCATTCAGCCAGCTATCACAGAAGAAATGCAAGACGTTTTTTTGTTCAGTCGCACATGTGCTCCTAATAAATTCAATTATACTATTAAGCTTCAGAATTCTTGTAGAGGCACGTCCAAACAGAATACCGGGGCTTTGCAAGGATATTGCAAACGAAACTCCTATACATGTCAGGATCGTTTCCAGTTTCATACTGTACCACCCCATTTAAGAGCTCCGAGTTCTAAACCACAACAGTTCTGAACATATCCTGTAAACCACTGGACTATAAAACACTAGTCCATCATGCAATTTTCATTTTACAAAAAAGTTAAAACCTCCAGTTACTTCCCAGCTCATAATTGATTTGTCTTCATTCATACTCATTCATTTATTCATTCAGAGAATAGTCAGATAGTGTGCTTTAATGCATAATTATTCCTCGTACTGTTAAAGTTAATCGCAACTAATTGGACTAAATGACAGTTGTCCAGGTCTGCTGTCTGAACTGGTATACTTACTGACTGAAGGACATGTTTCTCTCGTCACTTAAACCAAACACAGGGACATTAAACTCAAAGTTGCACACTTGGAAAGACTGCTACAGCATCACCCTTATTTATTTTATGGGAAATGTATGACACTGACAAAATTTCAGTACCGCCATAGAGACACTTCAGTGTAGTCTGGGGAAAAATTATTATTCCTGGAGTGAATGCTCAAATGTCAAGTGCTGAAAAGCAGGGCAACAAATTTAGAAGATTTAATTTAAGTCGCACCAACAATAACACTCACCCTTTAAAGCTGCTAAAGTTTCAAAGAAAATGTTAAAATCTGAAAAATGTCCTGATCGATGGACCAGCTTGTGACCTTTTCCTGGTTGCCTGTGATGAAAAGAGCAAATGTTTTTTAAAATCCACTCACCCAGTACTTTTCTTTTAGCTACAATCATCTGTCAAAGAGCAAATCCTAGATGAGGGGCTGGTGCACTAATGGATTTTCCTTAGCAATTAAAATACAAAAAAACTTATTAGCTTCAACACCTTTAAAAGTGTGTTAATCCCTTGTACAGTAACTAAAGTATAACTGCACACAAATTATCTTGAAAATCCAATTTTCACCCAGTTTTCATTACTAGCGAGGGGAACAGCCCTGAACTATCCAATGACAAGAATAAAAACATAGAATGAAAGATTAAAATTAAACAACAAAAGCATAGAATAACACATAAACACATAGTCTGGCAAAAAGGTTTCCTATACGGTATATACAAACCGTGACAATTAGCATAAATACGCTAAATAAGAAAAGAACCGAAAATGTAGGACTATAGACTATTATCAAAAGCAATAACATAAAAACGTACATAAAACACTTACCTTTATCATTTTTGAGTGCAGCGACATCCACAAATCTATAATGAAGCAAAAGAGAGCAGACATATACGCACGCACAAAGTTTTGACTCGTGCCTCGGACAAGAACGGAAAAGCTTCGAGAGCACAACCCCCCCCGCTAGGGTTAGCCTAGCACCGCGAGAACACGAAATCGCGGGCGAGGAGGAAGGACTCTAATTGGCTGCTCCTGAACAAGTGGGAGGAGCATCGTATTTAAATATGCGTTATCGGTCATCCGTTTTTCAGAATAGTAGAAGGATTTATGGCTGGGATGTTGTGGTTCCTGGTTTTTACTTTAAGCAAGGACTGAACCTTGACCTTTTCCTTTGCAGACTGCTTGGAGTTGTCAGGAGGTTGATGGTTTGACAGTGCCAATTAGGTTTGCTGTGTTTTTGTGATTGTGATTGTTTTTAACCATTTAATATTTGTGGCAATTATATTCTATTTAGAAACTAAAACTGCAGTGGGTAACAGTGTTGTGTACCTATGTTCTACATGGGTTGATTGTGGTTACTGCAGAGGAGAAAATAAACTAATAATAATTGCTTATACTTATATAGTGCTTTTCTGGACACTCCACTCAAAGCGCTTTACGGGTAATGGGGACTCCCCTCCACCACCACCAATCTGCAGCATCCACCTGGATGATGCGATGGCAGCCGTAGTGTGCCAGAACGCTCACCACACATCAGTGATCAGTGGGGAGGAGAGCAGAGAGTAATGTAGCCAAATCATAGATGGGGATTATTAGGAGGCCGTGATTGCTTAAGGGCCAATGGGAAACTTGGCCAGGACGCCGGGGTTACACCCCTACTCTTTTTGAGAGACGCCCTGGGATTTTTAATGACCACAGAGAGTCAGGGCCTCGTTTTATTTCTCATCCGAAGGATGGCACCTGTTTTCAGTATAGTGTCCCTGTCACTATACTGGGGCAGTAGGACCCACATGGACTGCAGGGTGAGCACCCCCTGCTGGCCCCACTAACACCTCTTCCAGCAGCAACCTTTGTTTTTCCCAGGAGGTCTTCCATCCAGGTACTGACCAGGCTCACACCTGCTTAGCTTCAGTGGGTTGCCAGTTGTGAGTTGCAGGGTGATATGGCTGCTGGTAACTAAGGCCATAAGGCTCTGAGGAGCTAAGTAATCTACACCACAAGATAATTGTACCTATTCACTGCTCTAAGGTTGCTTTAATCTAGTGTGTAAAGATCAATGCCACCATCATTGATTGGAGAATAATTTTTGTCAAGAATAGTGTCAACGTTACATTCCTTCTCTTTCCTTGGAGCATCAGGATAGCTCTGAGGTGGAGCTAGACTCTGGTGCAGAGTGAAATGAGGTCTGGTCCCCCTCACTCAACGTGGTCTGCCCTGATTCTCACCAGCATGAATAGACATAAGGGATTGATACTGTATGTTGTATTTGTCCCATTATAACCCAGGACTGTAACACGTTATCTCAAGACCACCTTGGTTTTGAGGTTTAAGTTTATGCAGAGCACTTGAGTTAAACAAATGTAACAACATGCGAACCTGTTGGCCGCTCACATTTTCTTTTAAACAATCCTTTCCAAATACAAAAAATTCAATATCCCACTCGCTCACATCATTTGCCTGATATGTTTTTTGGCTTGATCAGGATCCTAATCTATTTTTTGTATCTTTAAAGCTCATTTCTGAGGAATCACTCAGGATTAAGCAACAGTTTTACTTAAGAAGCATGATCAAAGAATGAAGCATGTTAATACTGCTGTTTTCCCAGTGGCTCTTATTAGACAGAAGGGAGATTGTGCTAGAGAGACAACAGGTGATTTTAGGAGTGTTTTTGTGTCTGATCTTAGTTGCTTAGTTGCTGTTTGAAAGGAAACTGTTTCAAACCACATGTCTCAAACTGTCTTGTACTTTGAGAGCCCCACAACTGTCTGTGGTAGCTTAGGCTACCCTTGTTCTCGATTTACACTCCCAGTGTCGGTGTCAGTGTTCCACACTGATGCCACCATCATTGCATCAGCAATCCAATTCAGGTGAATCAGGTCTTCACTGCCTTGGTTTTAAATTTGTCTCTGGTAGATATTCACCACACGATCTTCACCATTGTCCATGACTGGCACGTTTTCACTGCCTTCCTCTACGCCTGGCAAAGGCTTCATTAGGGTTTCTAGGTAAGTAAACTGCACTAATGTACTTTTTATGGGCTCAGTTCCCTCTGTATGTTTGAAACATCATTACAAGCACAGTGAGTCAATGTGTGGTGTAAGGGTGGTGCTCTGTATACTGTACCTGAACACTGCTCTTCACAGGTCTGTCGTTTCCCTGGGAACAGACTGATGCTTGCTTACTTTAACTTGCAATGCATGATATAAGAAGTCAAATCTCCCATTTGCTGCACTCCTTTTAAAAAAGCCAAGCATTTTATGCTACCTTAAAGTTCTATTATACATTCAATTACAGTACATTCATACTGGCAGATGTCAGGCTCTGTCACCGCAGGCAGCTAGTTACCCTGACATTGCAGCAGGCTTTACATTTTTATGTCAATCACAGGGAACTCTGAGGGAACCCATAGTCTTTGATAAAGTTAGCAGACTGTCATAACCCGAGACTTTAGAGCCAACTTTCCAAACATGTTGAGAAAGCTTGTTATAAAATGGATTGACAATCAAACAGCATTTCTCTGCTTGTTTACTTCAATTAATTGTAAGAAAGAGTAAAGCAGAAGTTTCTACCTGTTAGTTTTCAAACTGTTGAGGAGGACATATTACTTTGTACTGCTTTCGTGCTTATTACAGTAAGTAATATTTCAGGATCAATGCTGAGAATGTTTCAATGTCATAAGAAACTCCTTGAATACAGTGAGCCAAATAGATAATTTATCTCCTGTGTGTTTATGATTGCTGATTTTATAATGATTTGAGTTTTTTATGTTCTTGGATTCATACAGGAGACATTAAAAGAAAAAAATTGCAATACACGCAAATCAGAGCAGAATATATATATATGTTTCTGGTAAGGGCCAAGATGAAGTAAAGCATATTCTGGTATCACTGGGCACAAAGTGGAACTGCCTTGTGGATGAGGCTCCAGCCCATTGCAGGGCACAGACACATGGACAGGGACGTTTTAAAGACAGCATCTGCACTTGATAACATGTCCGTCAGAGGTGGGAGGAAACTGAAGCACCTGGAAAAAACAACAAACGAAAAATTGGGTTATCCGTGGTATAATCAACCTTAAAGTACAAGCTACCAAGAGTTAAAAAATAAATGCGAGCAGTTGTGAGGCTGGTATACATAACAAGAAGAATTTTTAAGCTAAATAGAGGGGGTTAGAATCACCGTAACAGAGACTCAATCACAAGCGTGCACTGCCTCTGTACTAATTGCCCCTACCATCAACAGACAAAGACCAGCTGTTTCTATCTTTTTTTTTTTAAATTGACACAGGGCTCCTGTGACACATGGGAAGGGTTAAACAATTCTTCCCTGATTTCCTTCTAGGGACTCCTGGAAAAACACCGTCTACCAAAACGAATCAGGGACAAATCTAATCTTTACTTGCAGAACTGTATCCCTGCCTTTATTATTTTATGAATTTTAGTGTTAGTCCTCTCAATAATGGAACAGTTTAAAATTTAATTTACCCCCAAATGGTTATTCCCAGAGCAGATGGTTGTCTATGTATTAAAACACACAGACAAGACCCTTCATACAATTCATAACCAGTCCCTGAAATACAAACTCCTGCTTGACCACAGTGTAGAAGGCTGTGGAGAGAGATGTTATGGGATCTGACAGCTGGCGTGGCCTAGGATTGCAGAACAGAATGTTAAATGTGCTTTTCAGCTTGAAATAGACTTGATATTTAAGGTATGAAATAGTCATTCACTTTGTCTAGGAGATCAGAGATATTGATTCTTACACTTGCTGTTTGATCTTAATCTTTGTTTTTAAAAAGAGCCCTACTACACGCTCGTTAATTTCCACCAAACTGAAAGAAAGCGCGTACGTTACATGGCTCTTGAGATCTTTACCACTCAAGCAATTTCTGTTCCCCATTGGAGAACCCAAGTACAAGACTTGCAATTACATAAATACTTCAAATGAATTAATCAGAAACCTTCGTAGAAGACGCTCTACAGTGCCAACAGTCCTTAGATAAAAGATGATGAATTGTGAGTTTTCAGAAACATATTTTAGGAGCACATCTGAGGCAGAGTGCACATCTTTTCTTTTGTCTTTCCTCTTTTAATTTTCTGCATTCATGGGAATGCAGTAATGATATTATTATAAATGCTGGCGGTGCAGTTTCATTTACAAGCTGATTTGCAACTTTATGCTTTCTTTAATGAAGTGTGCTCTAATAGATACAACCTTTCATAATTAGGCAGCTTTATATTATGTGCTCTTTTTTTCCTGGGAAATGCAAAATCAAGTTTTATGTAATGTCATTATTAGCCAATTTGCAGATTCACACATTTATGTCTTGTACGTTGCCAGTTGCAAAAAGCTGCTCATTAAATTGAACCTGCACCGGCCTGCAATAACTGTAAGCAGAAAAGGCTGCTTTCTGGAGGAAAAGAAGACAAGACTCAGTGTGGAACCTCATCTTAGATTCAGACCTATTCCTTGCCAAAGCACAGCCCTGTTGGTAGAGTATTTCTGTCACCTTAACCTATACCCCAGCTCTCAAAGGTACACCTTATAAACTCAAACCTATCCCTAGTTCAGACGTAGCCATCCTAAAATGCAGAAAGGCACTGGAAACTCAAGGACAGTAGAGATGATTCCACACAGGATATGCAATTAATTAACACACTACTCATTTGTTTGTATGCACATCATTCTGGCTTTAAATACATACATGCAAAAATACCTGCTAATGCTTGCTGTACCTGTAACATCTTTTTAGGAAATACATGTACTGTATGTTCTTAAATGTGCAATGGGATTGTCAAAATAATACTAAACCTATATGGTTTGGCTGGAAAGATCATGTTTTACACTGAACTGGTACCTTTAAAAAGTCATGGTGTGGTTCTTATTGGGGAAACAAACTGTTGGATAGGATGTTCTGTTTGGTTGCTTATCAGAAGCAAACATGAATTCCTGGATGTGCTCAAGTGGGCCCTGAAACAGAGGTAAGATCTCTACACTGTAAAACACCTTGCTATGAGAAAGCATGATGAATGTTTTCCACCTTAAGGGAGTTATATCAGGCACAAAACTCCCCTTTTCTTACCCCTGGAACATTTGGTGGTAAAAAGAAAATGAAATTCAGACTGGTGCTCTCACTGTCTCTGTGTATTGTTTCTGACAATAATCCTGCAATTTGTGCCTCTGAAGTGGGGATGCAGTGAGCAGGAGTGGAAGAAACAAGTATTTCTTGATGTACACAATTAAATCCATTGATTTTCTGTGCTAATGTGTGTGCTGCAATGTTGGTGGTGGTGAAATGAACAAAAACATATGTGTCCTTAGTTGGGCCAGGACCATTACAAATGTTTAATGCAGATTAAAGATGCTCATCTTGGGCAAATACACTGCCCATCTTCAGACACACTGTAAATGTAAGGAAGGCAATTTCATGCAACAATCAGTCTATTCTCCTTGTTGTGTTGCTTTAATCACCAGGAATGACCATTTCATGGTCTGGTACTGCGGTGTACAAGCAGAGCCTGTGGGCTAATTTTAGCTGTCAATGAGAAGCAGGCTTCTAGTGCCCCACAGAATCATTGCAGCAACAGTAGGAGGCAGAGAGCTCTGTTTTATGCAGGCTGCTCTGATTCTCTAATTGTGCTGCACAGCAGCATTGCCTGTTTCTGTTTCCAATACCCTCTCACTCTCGCTGCTCAACTGATTAGCTGGACCTCTGTAAGCACCGTAGAGCACAGACAGTTCAAAGCCTTGCCGGGTGTAGATGGGGTGTCTGCTTGTGGGGAAGGGTCATCAATTGAGATAAAAGGCACCACTGTTCTCAATCTCACATTTACATTTCAAATCTCAAAGCCAACACAGATTCCTTTGACAAAGGCTTATACAGTGTCACAGCAGATCATGTGAAAAAGCTCACCTGCCCCATAACTACCGTTCCTGACTGTTTAACCACATCACAAAGCTGCACAGGTATTGCTGTGATCATATCATAACCACCTCTGCTTCTTCTGTCAACATCAATTCAAAGGGCTGAGGTGAAGGACAGCTGTTCTGGGCTTGTTAATATAAGAGCATCAAAGGCCTCCCTCTCCAGAGCTGTGCCTTCATTCCCTGCCCTGCACAGGCTGCTGATTGAAGACGCTCCCTAAGGAGGCTCCCGGTTTGCAGTCTTACCGTAGCTCATCAAGTCAAACCGTTTTGCAAAATGAGATGCATCTCCCAGCTTCGCTCTCAGCTGTCTCTGGAGTGCAGATTAACACAACCAGCTACAGTGCAATGAAGAAACATTGAACTAATCCTCTTTCATAGATTAGGATTCAACTCGTTTCAAAGCAATTCCTCTCATCTGCCTTTCCAGCCCTTTATAAGTTAATTCTGCTACAAACTACTTTTGATACCGAGCTGGTTCTTCCTATGTAAAAATGGACAGCAATGTTGGTGCGGCTGGATTTTGAGCACTGTACCTAGAAACAGGTCAACACGCTTTTCAAAGGCTCTTTCGCACATTTGCACAGCTCACTATAAAAAAAGGCAATAAATCTGAGAGTTGAAACTGCAAGGAGTGCCTTGGGATGACAAGTCCAGACCGCCTCCACAGTAAAGCCAAGAAGACTTTAACCGCTTCCAGCCCCGATGAGGGCTGTGGCAAGCCGGAGCACGTCCCAGAAGGACGGAGAGCAGACGACAGCTCTCGCCCTGGGCGACACACCAGTCCATTGCACGGCAGGGGAGAAACGAGGAAAACTACCCAGCGTGCCTTCGGGAAACAGGAGCACCTAGCAAAACAGACATGAAACTAAAGAGAACATGTGAGCTCCTCTCAGGCAAAAGCCTGCATGTAAGTTCAGGTTTGAATGCTAGACCCTAAAGCAGTGAGGTGTCAGCACACGGGGCATTTCACCCACATCAAGCTCACTGAACTGTACAGCAAATGCTTTCAGCCCAGCGTTCAGAGCAACATCGCTTCTTGATCCTTCGATGTCGGCTCTTCTTGTCATTGTGAAGCAGAATTCACCAAGCGTGGGATTGTTCACCCACTAATAGGGAACGTGAGCCGGGTTTAGACCGTCGTGAGACAGGTTGCTTTCACCCTACCGATGATGTGATGTTGCTCTTGGCCAGGAAGATACCTCGTGCTTTGGCACTCCGTAGTTCTTCAGGCATGTGGCTTTCATCCAAGGTAACTTCAGTAGCAATCACAATTTCAAAGTCATGTCACAAAATGCAATAGGTGCAATGATGTAGTGTGGAGCACCAGTCAGGGCTCTTGACTCCTGACCTGGAGAGCCGTTAGTTCAACGCCCAGCTGGGGACACACCTGCTGCTGTGCCTGCAAGGAAGGTCCTCTGTGTAATCCGTTACCAGTATCTGTATGTCCTCTGTAAGTTTGGATAAAAGCATCAGACAGATAAATTCATAACAACGTAATGAAGCTAAATAAATGACAGTGGTTGATTTACCTGTAGTAGAAGGCACAAGGTAATTATAGACTAAGTGATACAATTGCTGAGCATATGATTCTTAAAAAAAAAAGTCATAATTAAGGCAGTAAAAACATGACACTTGGTTTGTATGTGATAGTAATCAACAGTGAAGTTTGCTCAGGTATTTAATTAAGCAACAGGTATGGTGGTACCAGCGGGTCAGGTAAGTGTCTGTTCTGTACTTTCACAAGCACATGTATCCACTCTGAGTCACTCTGGGTAACTTTCATCTGCCGACATTCATAAGATAAGAGAAATGTTGGATCGACAGACCTGTTCGTGTTGAGACAGGCAGACCTGACGAGCCAAACCCCCTGCCAGAAAGAGCATTCCTTCATCCTTACAGTATCAGATTCCCTAAAACACAACAAGCGACACAGACCGATGTCTCTGTCTGCACGTCTGGGAGTATAAATTGGGTGTCCTTAAACCTAAACCTGTTTATGGTTTTACTTTCATCTGCACTATTCCTCACTTATAAACTTCAAAATAAGCAAGACGGCGGAGGTACATCTTCCAGTCACTGGAGAAAAAGACGTGTTTTCAGCAATTCAAGAGAACCTAAAGGAATCTGTTTCCCTCACATTTTTTTATTTGAGGTGAGTCTTGCTTAAATGCCCGTCGAACATCTCTTGTTCTAAACAGCATGAGAGTAGCAGCTCCTGAAAATCCATCATTGCATCCCGGCTGCCTTGAAGGTCGGACTGTACTGTATTAGAATCCACCATTTCATGTAGACTCCGGTTTTCCTTCATCTTAAAAATAAAAAGTCAAACCCTTTTCCTGTCTGTGTATTACAGATTCGGTGCACAGAGTCAGCATGGTAACTGACCACGGACAAACCTTATTGCTTTGGCTCTGTCCTGCCTTCACCTTTGCATCATTGTCCAGTAAGTCACATGTGGCAGAGACTTAATTGACAGACATGGGCTCTCATCTGCTGAAAGTGTTCCAGAGACAGGAACTACTGTACATTTTGTATTTGATACAAAGTCAGGAGGCTTCCCAAAAACATCTATAAAGTTTTTAGAATTGAAAATTTGTTTGATCAGTTTTGGCAACTTCAGCTGTACATTCAGGTCAGCTTCACTTTTTTAAGTTTTCTTTTTGTCACTGAGTTTTCTCCTCTTCAGCCAACCCAATCTTTAAAAATACAGTAGCCAACTCTAAAAGGCTAATTCTGGGGATTAAAAACATTCTCCCTAAAGCACTGATGCACATACCGAACTGTTAATATCTTTAGCTTGAGATTCTTATCATTACCTGTCTCTTCTAGGAGTATTACAGTTAGATATTTATCACTGGAGTACAGGAGCATTGTTGAAGTGGTTCCAACACTTTCTTCTTGTGGTATGACAGGTTTTGTGGACCTGGTAGTGAAAGATAAGATGACAGCAAAGTATGACAACAGAATCACTCTGAACTGTAGCATATCCTCAAAAGAAGACTTGGGAGACGTTGAAATTAGTTGGGTACATTTTGAGAACAATGACATACTGTGCAATTACAACAGTAAGGATGAAAGAGCCACCCACCACCAGCGAGCTGCATGCACCTTTGGAGACCTCCAGCTGTCTCTCACTCTCCATCGCTTCCTGCCGTCAGACGAAGGGATGTACATTTGCAAATTGCGATCGAAAGCTGGAATGAAACACACAAACACAACAGTGCAGCTTCAAGGTGAGTCTGCATTTCTTTCAGCTGTCAGATCTTTCCCTCGCGGAGGTAAGACAATAACTAGGTCAAACATACTGTACAGCTAGGCATGCCAAAGTGGTCATCCTCCTAATTAGACTGCTCTGAAAAAGGTAAAATCTCAGCAAGAGATTTTGCGGGTACATTAAAATAGAAGATGTTTTCCAGTTAATTGAAGCATTTATTTTTACATGCTTTCATAATACAAACTCAGCATGTATTAAAATAATTCTGAAAAACCTCAGAGAGCCTTAGCCTGCCTAAATCATGTACTGTAGTGTCTTATAGTTCAAGTACAGTAGGTAGCTGTGTCAGCATGCATAGGCTGCAAATGAAGAAGTAAAGGTTTATTCCCTGCTGAAAAGAGAAGAAAAATAAGAATTTTCAGCTGTGGAGCCCTCTTTGGGTGTGTGAAACACAACGTTTCTACTCCACAGCCGAAAATTCTTATTTTTCTTCTCTTTTCAGTATGGAATAAACCTTTACTTGTGTCTTACAGTTGCTGTGAATCAATGATCCCTTCTTATCACTCCAAAATAGCTGTAACAATTGTCAGGGGAAACCAGCCTGCGTTCTTGAGCATCACTGACAAGCATCGCCTCTAATTGTCCCATCTTTGTTTTATTTTAGATCAATTCAGCAGGTTTCAATATGCACAGTCTTCTTCACAGCGGACATGTACTTTCTATGAAGTTTACCCTCAAGGAGAAGTGCACTGGTTTGATGAGGACAGAAATGTGACTGAAGATGTTGTTTATAGCTCTAGCAACAAAACCAAGAACGGGCTTTTCAACATCACAAGTACGTACGACACTGGAGATGACAGAGCTCTCAGCTGCTGCCTTTGGATCCACAGAGCAGGAACATGCTTGACATGCCAAGAGATCAAATGGTCAAGTAAGAGTAAATATCTGACAGGTTCTGCTGCTTCAGTTGACGCTCTGCATACTGCAGCAGTCGTGTGTGCATGGTTCTTCATTGCTCAGTGCTTGTGCTTTTAACTTTCACGGTTGTGGGCAGGGTGACAATTGCATTTCCTCTTCAAAACCAGGCTCGTCGGACTAAACAGCTTCCACCCGTCGTGAATTTCACAAGCGGCACAAACACAACTGGACAGCGCAAAAAGTTACTTTTTTAACTTCACTCACATACAGCCTAAGTATCATAGTGATCTAGTGTTTTTTTATTCATAACTTGATATCAAGTGTCAGGATTGCACAAATTGCATTTTGTTAAAGCCTCAAGGCTAGATAGTGTTGATTCCCTGATGATGTGCGTTTTAGTTAATGCAGAACCATAGCGTGAAAAACATAGGCATGCTTGCCAGTATAATAAATGAAGGCACTTAAGCAAGGATATGTTTCCATGGGCTACTGTAAAACTCATTTTCAAGAATGAAACTACAGCAATGAAGGCAAAGTCGTCTTCATGGAAATTGCACAAACACTATCCAGCAATATAGAGGACTGCTTTGTCTCTGCGTGATGCTATGGTAACCCATTCAAAAACCTTACTGGTTTTTGTACTGTAATGCACAAAACATGATGTTTTCAGACTCAAGGCTATCACAAAACTGTCCCATTATACAGCTCAGAATTAAACATATATAAATCTATGATGCAGTATACTGAATATCCTACATGCTCCATAACTAAAAAAGAAGAGATCAGATTTGTATACTCTTGTGCCCTCCGGTGGCAGAAACTGGTCACAGCACACTTCCGCAGCACCTGTCAAAGTACTGCCTGGGTCATCTGGAATCCCTCCTTGAAAACACCACCAAAATAATCAAGCAACTCTTCTGCCCAGTTGTAAAACCTGCCTCCCTACTTTTGTCATAAACACACTTTAACAAAAAATTCCATTAGCTTTCAAATATCTCAATCGGATCCCTTCAATGCCTTATATTAGTGTCAGACTTTAGAGATTTACATTTACTGTATAGGCGTGCCATAATAACCCTTGTCTAGGAATTATTCTGCTCACACATTGGCAAACCCCAGGGCAACAAAGGCTGTTTACTGAGCTCTTCATTCCAAACCGGGGCAGACACGCAGTTCACTGTGCAATTGTAATCCAAGCGATTGAATAAAGCCCATTGTTAACACTGGTACAATCATTCCTTTTGTGTTCTTTATCGCTTCACCTTGTTGTCCAGAACTGCATCGATGAGCCCACAAGAACATGTAAGTGTGTCAGTGAGTGGGCAACAGATGAGCATGGGGGAAACTCCAAGCTGAGAAGCAGAAAGCACATCGATCGTGTTTCCTGTTTATAGTAGGCCCATCCAAGTTCAGTACGGCTCCACCCATCTGACTTTCATCAAGTGCGCGTCTGGGCATGGCTGCAATATCTTGTATTCATTCACAAAGTAAAAAGGCTTATGAACATGCCTATTCTGTTTCGCCAGGGCACACCTGGAAGGTATGGAGGGCTTCCAATTTTAAAACAAATCACTGGAACTCTTCAGCAGAGCAGCCACGGAAGTAAATGTAGCAAACAACAGTAAACCACATGCTCAATAGCAAGGAGCGTGCCAGGTGTTTCCTTTTCAGAACCTGGCCCTTACCCACTTATCTTGCCCACATCTCAGACGTTCAGGCAAGTGTGTGTGTGTGTGTTTTTAAATCGTTTAGTTTTACTTTACCTGCTAGATAAAGTTGCATTCTTCTTTCTCCAAAAAATGTGCACCCAGCCTTTGTGTTCTGGAAGCCCTCCTCTCTAGAGGGCCTCAGAACTGGGTTTGGCCATTCCACATGTTGATAACCAGGATAGCAATGACTACTCCTCAAGAGCGGAACTGGAAAACAGGATTTAAACTCAGCAAAGACAGTTGACCGTCCTCTGCTACTGTACCTGCACTTTCCCCCATCAGGAGTCTTCTTTCTGCTGATACTGCACAGTACATGCTGGCATACAGGTAGTAGTACCACGTCTGTGTTGCTAATTTTTCCACACCTCGCAAAGCCAGAGCCGCTTTTCAGCTTTTCAGCTTTTCACTCTGGATCACAGCCACTGAGCGCCCCTGTACCCCAAGAACATCAGCCCTGGTAGAACATCAGTCCCTCTGGAACACTGTTCCCCAGAACCCAGTCTGACTCCCACTTCACCCCTGCTGTTTACAAAGTGAGGCGTGTGTGGCTGCACGTTTATTCCCACAGGTCGTTAAGCGAGATGCCCTCGCCAAATTCTTTTCAACAGACTGGAGAGGTACAGTAAATAGGGCAAGGTCCGCACAGCTCCATTTGAAATATAAAAAAAAACTATGAATAGAATGTTGCTCAACACAAAGGCTTATTGCTTTTGAAAGGAAAATCTGTAGGTGGAAATTAATTCCAGAAGCAGAGAGCACCAGCGTTCCCAATCCTGGTGCTGGAGTACGGCTGTGTTATAGCCTCCAGAGTCATGAGAGACGTTCAACTGTATTACAAATATGTTCACAGCTTATTGATCCACCTGATAAAAGTAGCTGGGGAAAGGTAGACTACAAGACTCTTGCCTGTTTGCTGTTTGACAGCAGCACCAGGGAATGGGCCAAAAACAGTAACTGAACATTTTATTCTATTTTCGCTTTGGCAAGACAACCAACGAAAACAAGAAAAATCGACACATGTGGTCGCAACTCCCGGTCAGATTTAAACCCAAGTTTTCAACTTGGGGGGGAATTCAGCAACCACTTTGCCAGGCCTGGGGGTCTCTGAGCAGGAGGACACTGACATGCAGCGCACAGTGGTCCACAAGCCCTGGAGAAGCCCAAGGTCTGGAGGCTGGACTGGAGCTGCATTGCAATATGGGGACAGGAGATGGCAGGAATGAGACGCTTTGTACTGTAGGTGATTCACTGAAGAAGAAACAAAAGATCCTGCTTTTTCCCCTTCCAAATATCTTCAGACTTGATCACTCGGTTCCTTTTATCCCTATGATATACTCTTGAATCAGCAAACGCCAATAAGCACATATAGAGAGACGCAATGTCACAGTGAAAATGCCATGTTTAAAAGTCTGCTAAAAATAAACGTTGTTTGAATTGTGGTCGGGTGATAAGAGAGGTGCGAGACGGAGCTGAAACCGACAGAGCAGCTCTCTGCGGACAAAAATAACCAGGAAATGAATTTGTTTTCAGGTTTCAGTCATCAACCTGCCTGGTGAGATAGATAGATATTGCTTTTTGATGCCTCTGCTGTTAAACAGGTCTTCTTAAAGTGTCTGTTTATTCGATGCATAAAATTGCATCACATGTGCCAAGCTTCCGCAGGCAGAAGTGCTCATTATAGGTATAGGTTAGGCGTTAAGGAATTCTAGACATATTTGGCTGTAACAGCACTGCTCCATGCGGGCTCTGAGCCCCACAGCCCAAAGCTCTCCTCCGTGCAGCTCGGGCTGGTGGAGCAGCTTCTTGGTGAGAGCTTCAGCTGTCCGAGGACGAGCAGGGAGCTCTGACTGGGCTGCACCTTTCGGAGCCCATGACTGTCCAGCCATTCCGTCTGGAACGGACTATCATGATGACGAGGGCTGATTCAGA